AAATTATGTGATATTATAAATGAAACAATTAGAAAAATAGTCAAGAATAAAGGATTTGTTGTAGTTGGACATGATATTACCATACTCTGTTTACCTGATGCTAAAGTAAAAATAATTTTATTAGCAGATATAGAAACTTGTATAGCTCGATGTTCTTACCAAACAAATTCAAAAGATTATATTAATATTTTCAATAATATTTTAGAATGAGATGTATTATCTCAACCATTAATTAAACAAGCATATAATGTCTCATATGAGATTGATACAATCAAATTAACATTATCCAAAGTTGTTGATATGATTTTAATTCAAGTTTTTAAAAAGATACTTGGTATAATATATCAATGCTATTATAGGATAATCATCATTATTTTAGTTTTATTCATATTAAATTATTTTAATTTTCAATATTTTCAATCTTTTATTATTTAATTTTATTTATTAAATAAATTTATTTAGTTAGTCTATGACCAACTAGATTTTTTTTTACATAATTCAAAATATTTATTAACAATGTCTCAACAGTTACCTCTCCAACTCGAACAAGAATTACCAAAAGCTTATAAAGCTAATTTGATTTTTGATAAAAATCAAGATCTTAGTGAACATGTGTTTAAAACTTGCTTAGACAAAATTTGTAAAGATGATCCAAAAGAAAAATCAATCTTTTTAATAAAACTTAAAGAATTTTGTCAACTTAGATGTGATATGATGACTGAGATAAAATTTAATTGTAATTCAGTTCGTAACAGAGAAGATTCAAATTATGAAAGAGCCAAAAATTGTAAAGAAAAGATTTTACATGATCCTAAATATTAAGCACAACAAGAACATGATTTTGTGATTGATGCATATTTTAAGCATCTATCAGAGCTTGAATCAAGAGTTAAAATGAGTAAAAAAAAACAAGTTACTACTAATGATGAAGAAGAAAGTAAAGAAGAAGAAGTAGAAAATAAGAAAAAGAAACATGTTTCTAAAAAGCAAAAGAATTAATTTCATTTTTTTTTATATTAATTTATAATTATCAAATATTATTATCAAATAAATAGTTCTATTCAGTAATTACTGAATAGATTTTTAAACAGGTAAAATGGCTCTAACATGAAACTATAATACTAAAAATATAATATATGATGGTATTAAAATAATAGTTAGACATAGTGCTTAAATTCAAAATTTAACATGTTCAAATTATAATATATCATGTCAAAAACTAAAACCAAATTCAAAACCAAAAATTAACAAATATTTTTGTAAAAAATGCAACTATTTTCATTTATGAAAACAATGTAATAGTTGTAAAAATAAGATTGTTTTGGAATTTTTATATTATTGTGAGAAATGCACTAATTTCTATTCAGATAAAGAATGCACTAAATGTAAAAATCAATTAATAGAACTTAAGAATTTTGATTCAAAATATCTTTCACAAGAGTCTCAAGTTTCATTACATTTTACAAACACATATTACAAAACTGATGCAGATGATTTTATAGAGTAAAACAAGTTCACCTATATAAAAAAGCAGAATGGTATTGTTTTAAATGACAAATTATATTTTCGTGATAGTGAACTTAGGATAAATGATTCTTCAAGTTCCAAATATAATTCTCTTTAATTAGTTTTATAACCAATTAAATTTTTCTCTATGTAATTCTCTTTATTAAACATCTTAACAATATCTGAAAAATACAATACTGCAAAGAGTCAATATTTAGCTTCTCAATTATCCTTTTCATTATTTTTATCTTGGCTCAATTCTGTTGCAAGCATGTATAGTAATGGTATTTTTATTAACAAGGACCAGATTAATAATGAGATTAAAGTTAAGCTCACAAAACAAACTAATTTGATGCAAATAAACAAGAAGATAATTGATTAATATAAAGGAGAATGTCGATACTATGCATTATGTTTGATAGTAAATTCTAAAAAAAAAATTTGGATGAGTTATAGAAATAATTCTAGTAAAGATTATTATATGTATTATCAAGTAGCAAGAGGTGGTTTAGAACCTTATGAATTATTCATTGATTGTGTCAAGTAAGAAGTATTTGAAGAGACCAAATTAGATTTAAAAGATTTTTACTTTATTGCATATGATGAAGGATTTCATATATTTTCTGACTGTTCAGACCATGAAATTATGTTCAAAACTGTGATTTATTTAACTATTACTGATGAAATTCTACAATTAACAGAACCTGACAGGAATTCTGCATAGGAGGCATATACTATAAATGAGTTTAAAAATCTCAAAGTTACTAATTTTTTGAGACTCAAAGAATCAGTAATAATTGAGGCCATTAATTCAAAATTCAGAAATCATAGAAAACATAAGAATGAGATTAATCATGTTAATTCTCAAAAACAAGTTAAAATAGATCCTAAGGAACCTGAATCTACAACATCATCTCTATTTTCACTTTAATAGTTTATTATTATTATTATTATTATTATTATTATTTTATTTTGTTATATTTTTTATTTTATTAAATAAATCATCCAACTAGTTTAATAACCAGTTGGATTTTTCACTATATAAATTAAAAAATAACTACTGCCAAAAAAGAAAAAAAAGTAAGTTGGCTATGCTATTTTACTTTGTATTTGTAAATTCAAATTATACTGCTATAGCAAAATAGGAGTATATTCTAAATGTATATATGTATACTAAGGATGTATTCTATTATTTTGTAAGAAACTAATATCAGAATTGGAGTTATATCTTTGAGATGCTAATACTGCAAACACTGGTGAAGAGAATTCTTGTACTTATATATTTTTTTATTTTAGATAACAAACTATCAATCTGGTTACAATTTCAAACTAATTGTTTGAAAAATAGCTGAAGATTTTGGATTATTAGCTTTTAATATTAAAGTGAATCATGAAGATCATGATATTGATATTATCATAACATATAAGAAAAAACTTATTCTTATTTAATGCAAAAATACTAAGATGCCTATATCTGTTCAAATTGTATAAATTTTTGAAGCATCTATTTTAAGATTTGCATTTAAATCTTTTGGAATTATTGTGTATAATAATAAAAAGCTAAAAAAAGAAAAATATACAACTTCTAGAGTAAAACAATAGGCATATATATCAAAAAGAAATATTGAAATTTGTAATAAAGATCAATTTGTAGGAATTATTAAAGATTTTTATGAATAAGATAATAATGATTATATAGAGTTAGTTGGTTATAAAGCTGACAGGTTTAATATTGTTAGTTTATTAGAAGAAAATGTTTCTATCGACAAGATAGTTATCAAAAAAAATAATGTAAATAAATTTTCACAATTTTCTCCTTATTAGTATCTGTTTAGTTTAATACTGAACAGATTTTTCTTTTTGTAATCTTAAAAACAATTGATTACACAAAATGTCAAAATTATTTGAAGAACAAACTTAAGAACTTGCAAGATTGAATGATCTCTTATCAATCTTTAATAGCTATATACATGCTATTAATAGTGATAATAATCATTGCACCTCACATATAAAAATAGTATTGAAAATCCATTTGGAAGAATTGAAAGAATTCAATTTTAAATATTACAAAACTGAATTTAAAACTTTTAAAGAGAAAATCATGAGAATTATTAATTGTAAATTATATCCTGAATTTGTAAATATTAAAGAATATTAATTTTATTTAGCATCTAATAAGATTTACTAGAAGGTGTATGAGTTAATTACAAAAAATTGTTATTGGATGTTCAAATAATGTTAGAATATATTTTTAAATAAATTTTATCTGTTTAGTTTAATACCAAATAGATTTTTCTTTATTCAATATGTTTCCTAATGAGATTTTTTTGTTAGTTTTTAAATCACTATATGAATCCATTTTTTATAATACTTGTAAAAACATATCTAAAAATGTTAATACTAAAAAACATATTGATAATTTGAAATTGATATCCAAATTTTTCAAACAAGAATTTGAAACCTATTTCTTAGCAAGACTTAAAAAAAAAGAAATTATTTCAGAAACAGATTTAGATATTTTACATTATACACTTCATTCAAAAATTAACGATTGGAGTTCTACCAGTTCTCTTATCAAAACATATGATTATTTGTTATTAAAGAAAGAATTAAATTTTTGAGAGATTATATTTTCTAATCATATAATAAAGGTTTATTTACTACAAGTTCCTTCAGATTCATATAGATTATTAGAAAAGTTAGATTGTTGAAATCTTATTTCTCTTAGTCATAAATTTATGATGTTAAACTGTAATAATCTAACAAATATTAATAGTTATCTTAGTTTTGAAGGTTGATTTAATGATCTATTCAGTTATGTAACCAAATAGATTTTTTTATGTTTAAAAATAATTTAATCTATGTCAATTGAAACTGTGGCTCTTATTTTATTTTTTATATTATTCATTTTTTCTTGTATGCTTTTAACATCCAAGAAAAAAAAAAATAATTGTATTTACAGGAACTATTGGTGCAAGAAAAACATTTGTAGCAAATTTATTCTATCATTATTTGAAACAAAAAGAATATTTAGTCTTTTTGTTCAATAAAGCTTCTCTTGAACTAACCAAAGAACTTAATCTGTTTTATAAAAATAAGAAGAAGAATTGTTTTTTTTTTCCAAAGTGTAATAATGAATTTCTACAAAAAAAGAGCTCAACTTACTAAATATTTGGATTATGATTATATCATTAAGGATTGTAAACATGAGGATGTTAAGATATTTAATAAATTTCTAATTGATAGATATGAAAAGGGTTATATCAACAGGAAAGTTGATGAGATTGAATCTCTTCCTCCATATAAGGTCATTTTTGTAAATCCTTCTTTCAAAACTACAATTGATCATAAAAAAAACTGAAATAAAAAAGGCGAAAAATGTTCTATTCAATATTTAAGAGAACTTTATGATTTTTACCAAACTGGTATTGATGAGATTTATGATGAACATATTATGTTCAAGAATGAAAATGTTTTATATAAAGATTGTCTTAAATTTTCTCAATGTAAAAAGAATTGTGATTTCAGCTCTCATGAGATTCTTTTTGAACAACTTTTATAACTTATATCATCTATCTTAACAAATATTCAGTTTAATAAACTGAATATTTTTTTAATTCAGTAAATAATTAAAAATGAATAATAATTTATCAAGTTTATTAAATCTTTTAAATAAAAATTGTGAAGAATTTATATTAAAGAAATTAATAGAAAATAATAAGAGAAAGAAGGCTTTTTTTTTGTTGATTTATTGAACTGTTTTATACAGTTTGAATCATGAAGTAGAACTTGATGAAACACAAAGAGTTTTGTTAATTAATCAAATAAATATTACTATCAGATGTCATATTATAAAAAATACTTTTTATCAAAAAGATGTAATTGAAAATCTTGAAGAGCTTATAAAAATTAAGCAATTTATAACAGAATTATCTAAAGATGATATTATAGAATATTTAAATTAAGTTATTGGTAGAAATGTAATTTCTGATAATATTATTATTGTTAATAACATTATTTTTTAAATTTATTTTATTTTTTTATTTTATTGTTTTATTATTATTATCATTATTATATTAAATTGTTTTTTTATCTAGTCTATTGACCAGATAGATTTTTTTGTGTATAATTCAAATATGAATCAAGAAAAGAAAACTATCACAGATAATTATCATATTAATGATTCTGAAAAAGTTAAATGAAACTTTGTACAGAATTTTTTAATACTTTCTTAATTAATACTATAAGAGCTCATATTGAAAATCAACATCATGAGTTTTATCTTGTTAAAAAAGCTATTTTACTTTTAACTTATCAAACTCAAGTCTCTCAAGTTTCTGGTAAAGAAACTTTATCTGATATTTCAAAATTGGAAATCACAAGCATTGAAACAGAAGAAAATAGTGTTTTAAATTTTAAAAATTTAACAATTAAAGGACTATTTAGTATTT